CCACTGAGCAGGGAGCCCGACGTGGGACTCGATCCCGGGACTCCGGGGTCATGACCTGAGTCAAAGGCAGATGCTTAACCGTCTGAGCCACCCAGGCGCCCTGGGGTGGAGTGAAACACAGAATGAAGTTGTGTCTCCTGCGCTTTGGAATCTGGCTGATCTGGAAAAGCAGTGTGGCCCTCACTGCCCCTCCCCCGGCAGCCAGAGGGTCTTTACTAAAGTCTTGCCTCCGTTGGCTCCAGAAGTCACCCTCCGCTCAGAAGCCTTTGCAGCCCGCCCAGGGCCAGCAGGAGAAAACCCAGCTTCTTCCCCTTGGCCTGAGAGGCCCCTGCCCTGCTTTCCAGCTACAGCTCCTATGGGATCCATCCCCTCTGTGCTCTGTCCTCCAGCCTCACCTCAGGCCTTGCACGGGGAGCCCCACCAATGCAGTTAACATTACCCCAGCTGGCAGTTCCTCGGGGAAACCCTCCCAAAGTACCTGGGCCAGGCCAGGCTGGTGCAAAACCCCTGCTCTGGACTTGGAGCATGAGAGCCACTTGGCTTGTCTTTCTTTGTTGCAGTCGCTGATGTGATGCTGCTGCTATCCGTGTGATTATGAGTACCTGTCTCCAGCAGGAGACGGTGGGCTCCCAGAGGGCAGGAAGCGAGTTTGCTCACCAGCCTCAGTGCCTAGCACAGACGAGAGAAAGCTTCAAGACTGTTACTTCCTGGCTAGCTCAGCCGGTGGAGCGTACGACTCTTGATCTCGGGGTGGTAAGTTCGAGCCCCACGTTAGGTGTAGAGATTACATAAAAATAAAATATTTAGGGGAAAAAAAAGGAACTACTATTTCCTAAATGAGTGAGCTTGTTGGGGGAAGGAGGGGTGGGACTTTAGAGAAGACTCTGAAGGATGAGCGGGAGTTCTCCAAGCTGAGGCAGAGGAAGGCCAGCACAGAGGCAGAAGTGTGAGGCTGCTGGGGCACAGGAAGGGCCTCAAATGCCAGGTTAAGTAAGGGCTTTGAATGGAGCAGAACCCAGCTGCCCATGAGACGGGGCCTCCAGTCCCAGCTTCCGGGGGGGCCGTGGTCCCCTAGTGACCCAGCCAGCATCAGGGTTTAATCTCTGGCACACGTGTGCAGAGCCCAAACCCAGTGATGCCCTGTGACCAACAGGGAACATGGGCCCTGGGCGGGGGGGGGTTCAACTGCTAACGCCTCTAACCTTCCGGAGACTAACAGATGACCCCCACATCTGAATCTGCAACCCTAGTTTCCACTCACATCTCTACTTGGATGGCGAACAGGTGCTTCCAAATTGAACATGTCCACCAACGAGGAGAAGTAAAAGGAAGTGAGAAGGACCAGAAAGTCACCACTGAGCAGCTGTCACACAACTGAATACCAGTGGGTGTTACAAGTCGTGGGTGGAAGTTTGCTGAGGAACAGAATATTCGGTCTCAAAGGAGCAGCCCACAAATTACTTACTCATGAACCTACTGATTACAAAAGGGAAAAATGTAACTTTCTGATGGATAACCCGGCAGACACTACCTTAGCAAGATGGCTGAAGTTATTCTTGCCAGTGTTGGGAAAAATTAACATCCTACATCTCCTGTTGAGATACACTGAGAAGGGCACAACATCATTCTGTGATATTCCTGTCAAAAATCCATCACTTGAGGGGCGCCCGAGTGGCTCAGTTGGTTGAGCATCGGACTCTTGATTTCAGCTCAGCTCATGATATCAGGGTCGTGAGATCGAGCCCAGCGTTGGGCTCTGTGCTCAGAGGGGAGTCTGCGGGAGATTCTCTCTCTCTCTCTCTCTCCCTCTGCCCCTCCCCTGCTCATGAGTGCACGTGTGCACACACACTCTCTCTCTCAAATAAATAATCTTTAAAAAAAAAAATCCATAACTTGAAGCTAATCATGAGGGAGCACCATGTAACTGGCCTGGACTCTCCAGAAGTGTCAATGTCTTGAAAAACAAAAGCTAAGGAACAGTAACATATTAAAAGAGATTAAAGAGGGGCACCTGAGTGGCTCAGATGGTTCAGTGTCTGCCTTTGGCTAAGGTCATGATCTCCAGGTCGTGGGATCGAGCCCCACATCTGGCTCCCAGCTCAGCGGGGAGTCTGCTTCTCCCTCTCCCTCTCTCCCCCTGCTTGTGTTTTCTGTCTCTCCCTCTCTCGAATAAATAAAAAAAAAAATCTTTAAAAAAAAAAAAAGAGATATTAAAGACATCTCAATAGATGCATAAAAAACATTTGGTGAAATCCCCAACACCCTTTCATGATAAAAACACTCAACCAGGAACAGAACTTCTTCAAGCTGATAAAGGACATCCAAGAAAAACCCACAGCTAATATCATATTTAATGGTGAATGACTGAGCTTTTCCCCTAAGATCAGGAACAAGACAAGGATGTCAGCTTTTATTAGTTCTTTTTTTAAGATTTATTTATTTATTAGAGAGAGCGTGTGTGCAAGACAGCAAGTGAATGCGGGGAGGCGGAGGGAGAAGATTTTAAAGCAGACTCCCCGTTGAGCATGGAGCCCATTATGGGGCTCCAATAGGGGCTCCATCCCAGAACCCTGAAATCATGACCTGAGTCAAAATCAAGAGTCGGACTATTCAACTGACTAAGCCACCCAGGTGCCCCCGTTTTTACTACTTCTATTTGATGTACTGGAGGGCAATGTTGCCCAGGCAAGAGAATGACTGAATGAATGAAACCCAGAATGGGAAGAAAGAAGTTAAACTATCTCTATTTGCAGATAACATGATCTTTCATAAAGAAAATCCTAAAGCATCCATAAATAAACTATTAGTTAATAAATGAGTTCAGTAATGTTCCTGGAAATAAGATCAATACACAAAAATCAACCGTAGGGCGCCTGGGTGCTGGTGATGGTTGCACAACAATGCGAATGTGCTTAATGCCCCCCAACTACAGATTTCAAATGGTTAAAATGGTAATTTTTATGTTTTGTTGTTTTTGGTTTTTTTTTTAACACCCCCCCACACACACACACACAAATTAAAGAAACATGATAACCTTGGACTGGCTCCTGGACCAGAAAAAAAAATTTCTGTAAAGGACATTACTGGGATCACTGACAAAACTTGAATATGGATTGTAAATTAGATAACAGTATTAAATCAATGTTAAAATTTTTCTGATTTTGATAAATGTACTATGGATTTGGAAAAGAATCTCCTTTTCAGGAGATACTCACTGAAGTATTTCCGGGTAAAAGGGTAATGAACAATGCAAGCTACTCTCAAGTAATGTTGGCGGGGGCAGGATATACACACATACACACAGACACACAGAAGAGACTATAATAAAGGCAAATTGTTAACAACTGGAGAGTCTGGGTGAACTCTTTGTATAGTTCCTATACCTTTATTGTAAGTCTGAAATTACTTCAAAGTTAACAGTTTCTAAAAAATTAATAGGTCCAAAACAGAACTGAGCTCTCCTCAAATCTGCTCCTTCCACAGCCGACCCGTGTTAGAAACAGGTCGGCTCTCTCCCACTGCTCAGACCAAAACCCTTGGAGTCATCCTTGACTCTTCTCTTTCACACACATTCCAATCCATGTGCAAATTCATTGGATGCAACTTCAGAATAGTTCCAGAATCCCACCCCTTCTCCCCAGCACCACTGCTACCACACTAGCCTGAACACATCATCTTGCTGGAAAGCTCCTCACTGGTCTCACCCAGAGGGGTTCAGTTAAAACATAAGCCAGATCATGCCGTCCTTCCTCTCACAACACTGATGTCTCATGGTGGCCTTACAAGGAGCCCCTGGCAAGGCCCCCACTGCTTCTCAGACCTCATCTCCCACCCTTCTCACCACAGTCACACTCACCTCTGGCTGCTCCTAGACCAGGAGCCGGGCAAACTCCCCCTACCTGCCTCACTCACTCACTGGGCATGGCTTCTGGTTGTCCCAAATGTCACTTCCCAGGAGGCACCCTCCTCTCTCGTCACTCTGCTTTATTCTCCTTCAAGGAACTCATTTCTCTCTCCGAGCCATGGAGCTACTTACTTGTTCATTGTATTTCCCGCACAAATACTGCTTCCCCAGGGTGATTACTTTAGTGCAGTGTTGTTTCCCCAGCACCCGGCACAGTGCCTCGCACGTAAGAGCTGTCAGTTCATAGGGACAGAGTAAGTAACTGGGTGCTGTAAGGTCTGTGTTGGTCCAAAGTGGGGCAGGGAGAGAAAAACGGGCTGGAGTCCTGGTGGGTAGGTGTTCCTTCAAGGGTCAAAGTGACGGACAGGAGCTGATACATGATGGGGGAGCCGGCGGGCTGTCCTCTCTGACTCCCTCCTCCAACTAATGCCAACAAGAGTGGGTAAGGGGTGCTGACACCCTGAGGATACACCATGCTCCCCCAGCCCCTGCCCCTCTCACTGGCCCCCACGGTGCTACTTGGCTCTTCCTGGACACTCTTTTTTTCCTGAATCTTCACCACCACCCTCCCATTTTACAGGAAACCGAGGCCAGCTGGAAAGGACAGTGACTTGGCTGAGGTGGGCTGTCCCCAGCACAGTCCTCCTACCCAACACCCAGGGGAGCCCCCACACCGGCAGGGGCCTGACCAGTGACCCTTCACAGGAGGATGGCGAGGACCATCTGACACGCCTTCTTTCGGATTGGGGAAAAGAGCCATACTTGGCCTGATGGAAGGAAGCCCTCCCACGGGAATGGGCCAGGCAGCGTGGGCCTTTAGGGGAAAGATGGGTGGAGGGCCTGAGAACTGGAAGGCATGGGCGTTCTGCCTGCCTCACTGACGAGGAAGGGGCGGCCCACATAAATCCCCCACCCCTGACAATCAGGGGCGAGGGGGCCCAGCGCTGCCCCGCATCACCTCCTGGTATCACCTCCCCTGCCAATTCCGGCAAGGCGCCCCCGCCGCCGCCCGCCCGTGGGTCAAGGCCAAATAAGGCTGCGCCGGCGCGCCGCCCCGCCCCGCCCCGCCGCGCGCATTCTTCTGCCTTGTAAGGCCCGCGCCGCCGCGCCCACCGAGCCCGAAGCCGGACCGACGGCCCGCGGCCCCGCACCGGCTCCGCGCAGCGAGCGAAAGCGAGTGAGCGAGCGAGCACCTTCTCCGCACCAGGTGGGAGTCGCGGCCGCGGGGGGCCAGAGGAGGCGGTGTGATGGCCCCAAGGACGGGGACGCCGGAGGGTCTCGGCGAGGATAGCCCTCGCGGGGCTGGGGCTGCGAGTTGCGGGTCGGACGGGGACTCTGGCAGGGGGTGGGCAGCAGGGAGACTGTTCCAGGCTCCGGCAGCCGGTGGTCCTTGGGCGAGGGAACTCTGTCCGGGCCCTGCCCCTTTGCTATGGAGTTACCGGCGCCAAGCCCAGAGCTCTGGGGGGGGCCCAGAAGGAGGGGAGGGGGTTGTGGTCTCCGGTGTTCCCTGCCCCAGTAAACCCATGTGTGTCAGACAGGAAAGTGAGCCCCTGTAAGGCTCCTTGAGACTCCTCCAGAACTCCTGGGGTTAGGAGAGAGGGATGGAAACTGGGATAATGCCCCCCCCCATCCATACACACCAACGCTTTATGCACGCACTTGGGGCTTCCATGTACTGGGCCATCTGCCCAACTGTGCCTGTTGGGTGGGGAGGGTCTGCCAAGGGCTCTGGGGGCTGGACAGGGACCTGGGCTGGGGGACCTCGGTCTCTGCTCCTCCTCTCCAGCCCACCAACTGCCCTGAGGAATGAGTCAGATAACTCAGCTGCAGAGGAGTGGAGTTTACAAGCAAGGCATCTGGCACTACCAGCCATAGGGACCAAGAGATAATGGGAGACACAGGCCTTGTCTTTGCTGTTATGGGGGGATTTCAGGCACCAGAAGGGGGGAGGTGGCACCTAGGTGTGGCCAGTCCAACTACCAGTTATATATGATCCCTAGTGTCTAGGACCTCCAGGAGCAGTAGGGGATGGCTCCAGGGCTAAAAACCTAGCCTGTCTCTCTAACCCCATTTCCTCAACCAAGTCTAGAAACTGCCTCTGGGCACACAGAGCCCTCAGCTGCAGCAGGCCCACCATGAGCCTCTTAGGGCATGTGTTTCTTTCTGTGTTCAGGTGTCAAGGGCACCAAGGGCTGGCCATTACCACCCACTGACCCAAGTCTAGCCCAAGTGGTTGGACTCTATCCCTCTCATGGGCATGCCACTTCCCTTCTTGGGCATCACTTCTTAAACTGCGCCGTTGGAGTGGGGGGTGTCCCCCCAAGATTGCTGGGTTGGACCCAACCTGAAGTTCAGTGCTTTCAGCCACATCATGGCCTCTGGACCAAAGAGGGTGGGGAAGGGGGAGGCCTGGAGACAGAAGGGCCCAGCTAGTTATCCCAGCAGTGGGTGAGATCCTACCCGTTCCATTCCTCTCTTCTCCGGGCTGAGTCTGCCCCAGAGCTGCGCAGACAGGAGGGTGGTGGCAATAGCGATGACGACCATCACAGCCCCCCATGACCGTGGACTACTCCTTGGCTGCCTTCCGTGGGTGCCATGAGTCAAAGTTCCCGGCGAACGGTGGGCTCGGGGAAGGACTGGGCCCCTCAAAGCACTAAACCCTGCTGATGCCACCAGCCCACTCCGACCCAGGTCATGGGTGAGAAGGGCTCTCGTCTACCCACCCTGAACCACGTGAGGCTCACCCAGGGCCAGCCATGTCAGGCCAGTGGGACAGCAGCCCGTGTGTCACGCCTACAGGCAGCCGTGGCCCTGGGGAAGGACCGGGGCTGGCCGGGATCCCTGCTCCAGGTTTAAGAGCTCAAAGACCAAAGTCTGAGAATGACTGGAACAGGGTCATGGGATAAAGGCCTGGAGATCGGTCGAGGAACATTCACGACCACACAATTTGGGACTAAAAACAGGCAGAGGCTTCCTGGAGGCTGGCCCTCAACCGAGGGCTCAGGGCAGAGGACAAACGGGGACAGGAGTCCTAGGGCCTCAGCCAGGCCCACAGCGGCCCCAGCTGAGGAGCACACGACCCCGGGTCTTCAGGGGCAGAATCCCCACAGGCCATGACAGGGGTTCAGGGAAAGAGCACCTTGTCGTGCCTCAGTTTCCCCATCAGTGCAGTGGGGGCAGTAGACTGGCTGCAATTGCCCTCACAGCCATTCATTAAACAATCATCCATTAGCCTATTGATTGGTAAACCAGGGGAGGGAGAGAAAGATCTCTAAGTGCTTACTGTCAGAGCAAGGGCACGGGAACTGCTCCCCAAGGGGATGTCTCAAGAAGTAGGCTGGAAAAGGAAGGGCGTTCAGGGGGAGGGACCAAGAAGGAAAGTCTGGGGGTGCCTGGGAAACATCCAGAGGTCCAGCATGGCAGAATCACAGAGGGCAAGAGGGACACAGTGAAGGGTGCCACGGTCAGTCAGAGAGAAGGGTTGGAGGGGTTCACACAGGGTCTTAAACGCCAGGCTCAGGGGCCCAGACTTGTTCCAGGAACTTTCGAGGGCTTCACGGTGAAATGACAGGTAGTACAGGTCTGGATCTCTATGGGATGGGAGAGACTGGCTGGAAACTAGGAGGTCAGGTCTAGGCAAGGGTGACAAGAAGCTGGGGCTCCCAGCCTGGGGAAGCCTCACACTCCTATAAGCACTGAGAAGTGAGAACAAGTCAGGTCTACTGCCCACCTAAGGGGCTGGTCAAGTGTGGGCAGGTTGGGGGAGGGGAGACTGCCCAGAGCATATGCCTTCCAGAACATCCAGAGCAGGGAGCACAGAGGGATGGGGAGGAGGGAGGAGGAGGAGGAGGACATGACAAGAATGTCAGGAATGCAGGGCCTCCTGACTGCTGGGGGCAGGGGGAGCCGGCAGGGAGCCTCACAGCCTCCCATTTTTCAACCCACCTTGTCACTTGGAGGGAGAGAGATGGACAGTGTAAATGCTGAGAGAAAGCGAGGACAGGTTGGCATGGAACCCAATCCTAAGTGTCATACCCAAAAAGCCACAGTGAAAGTCGCTTACTGTGCCTGGCACCATTCCAGGGGCTGTCCCTGGCACCATTCCTACTGCTGGGCCTTCCTCACGTCCCCATTCCCACATGGGCAAACTCCCCCAGAGAGGTAGAGAAGCTGTTTACGATCACACAGAGCCCACGCCTGTCTGCTTTTGTGACGAGCTGGGTGACAGGAGCCCCAAGTCTGTGGGAGGCTTTGAATGCCAGGCCCAGGTGCTAACAGCCAGTCTGGCGTGGGCAGGAGGACCCCTGGCCCAGGGTCATAAGCTCTTCCCCCCACACCCACTTCCTGCAGGGAAGCCCCGCCCACCCGAAGCCAAGATGTCCAGTAAGCGGGCCAAGGCCAAAACCACCAAGAAGCGGCCACAGCGGGCCACATCCAATGTCTTCGCGATGTTTGACCAGTCCCAAATCCAGGAGTTTAAGGAGGCCTTCAACATGATCGACCAGAACCGAGATGGCTTCATCGACAAGGAAGACTTGCATGACATGCTGGCCTCACTGGGTGAGCAGGAACAGGGGGGCTGCGGTCTAAGTGGGTCCCGCGAGGGTTAAACTGGAGCAGGCAGCGGGGCTGCTCATCACGTAGGGAGTCCTTCCCTTGGAGGGACATGTGGTACCCACCCTGGCGAGCAGATGCCAGTACTTTCTCCATTTAACAGATAGGGAAACTGAGGCACTGGGCACTGGATCTGAACCTAGGCTCACTCAAGAGCCAGACTGCCTCAGGCAGATTTGTGGTTGGGCTGCCTGGTTCCACTTCATTTAAAGAAAAGGATGGGCAACTAAAGAAAGTTGGAAGTGCACAGACTTTCCATTGTATGGACGGAGAACTGTAGCGGGAGGGGGGGCCAGAGTGTCCCACCCCTTTAGAAGTCACCCAAGCCAGTCCTTAGAGCCTCTCTGACTCCACGACTTCCCTAGAGTCAGAATCTTAGAGCTGAAAGGGCTCAGGAACCTCGTACAATTCACACTGCTCGGATGGGGACCCCCCCAAGTCTGTGGCCCTGCCCCCACATCCCTCCCCTGTGCTCGCCACAGATACCACCCCAGCCCCAGTTCCTGGCAGGCCCTTCGTCCGGGTCAGACACTGGCTGGGGGACAGGGGAAGCCTCTGGTAGGGGAGGAGGCGGCCTGTGCTGGCCAAGCCCCAAGCACTGAGGCCAGACAGGCCCGAGTAAGTCCCTGGCCCTCACAGCGGGGCAGCCCCACTCTGCCCATTTCCCTTCCTGCGCAGTGGTGACCGAGGCCCTCGTGTACACGCCCAGGAAGTCCGGTGGGAGGGCAGGGCAACCCTGAGTTGGGGGGCTGACATCGGACCCTGGGCATCTACCCAGAAAAACCTGCATTCCTGTCTGGAGCTCCTGTCAGTCGGGCCACCGGTGAGCCGTGGCCTTCTGGTTAAAAACGTCCTCCTCCAGTTAGAGAGTAAGAGCAGCAGACAACAAAAGCTGCGGCAGCTGCACAAGTACCTTAAACCTCACAGCTGTCCTACTGGGTAGATGTGATTAGCGCGTCGTCGTGACCTCGTGGTGCGGCGAAAGTGAACGCAGGCAGGAGGCAGAGCAGATCCGCGGGCAGTCAGCACATGGTGGCCCTTACACCCCAGAGGTCACGGATGTCCGGACCGGAGGCCCTAACTGGTCAAGGGGCCTGGAGAGCCCGGGGGGGAGGGAGCAGTCAGAACACTGGCCACCCCAGCAAGACGCTCTACAGTTTACAGAGCTTAGCGTGTCCTGCCTGTGGGACTCTCACAGGCCATGAAGGGAGGGGACAGGGAGGCAGGAGGGGACAGGGCAGTGACAGCAGGAATGTCCCACCTGCCACAGGGAAGAACCCCACCGACGAGTACCTGGAGGGCATGATGAGCGAGGCCCCGGGGCCCATCAACTTCACCATGTTTCTCACCATGTTTGGGGAGAAGCTGAACGGCACAGACCCCGAGGACGTGATCCGAAACGCCTTCGCCTGCTTCGATGAGGAGGCCTCAGGTCAGCAGCCTCCCACTGGAGGCCTGGACAGGGCTGGGGCTGAGCGCTTCACCCAGGGTGCCCCCGAGGATGCGAATGGAGCTGGGCTACGCTGGGACTTGAGGGCCCCTGTCCCCAAAGGCCAGAACAGAAATCCCCCATCTGCTGGGGTTTCCGTGGCTGGAACTGGAAAAACTAAGCCGTGTCCTTGTTCCCTTCCCCCAGATGCTAGACCACAACAGCCCACGTCCACCAAGGCTTCCCACGTCTTGAGTTCACCTGTTGGCCCAGCACACTGCCCCCACTTTAGACCTTCCCAGAAACCAAATCGTTCCAGGCCCTTCTGGCCAATAAGGTGCAAAAACCAGCCCCCATACTCAGACCTTACAAAGGACTTCTGTCCCACAGCTAGTGTGTCCCAGGGACAGGCCAGAGTGACGCTGCCAGTGATTTCAGTAGTTTCTCGGGGGCCGCAGGCCCAATTCAGAACATTTTCCTGATGACCTTCATGGTCCCATACCAGGATGGCATATTTTCATCTCTATTTTCCAGAGCACACAGGTACAGAGAGGTTAAATAACTTGCCCATGGTCACACAGCCAGGAAAGGGGATAAGCATGCAAACTCGGGCAGTGGAACTCTAGGGCTCATGTCTAAGTAAGACATATCCAGCCCCCACACTCACAGCCCCAAGGATCCCACAGACACACTGCAGAATCGCTCCCCACTCTGGGGCCCCGGGGAGTTGAACTGGCCAGAGACTCACTGCGAGGACTGGTGGGGGGCCGTGGGGTGAGGGTGTCGGGCATGTCCCAGCCTGAGTCCCTGTCTCATGGGCCCTGGCCCCACCCCCAGGCTTTATCCATGAGGACCACCTTCGGGAGCTGCTCACCACCATGGGCGACCGCTTCACAGACGAGGAAGTGGACGAGATGTACCGAGAGGCACCCATTGATAAGAAAGGCAACTTCAACTACGTGGAGTTCACCCGCATCCTCAAGCATGGTGCCAAGGACAAGGACGACTAGGCCACCCAGCCCCCCATGCCCAGGCCCCTGTCCCACTCTCCTGCTCCCCAAACTCACTGTGCTCCATGCCCGTGATCCCATAGGACCCTCTCAGGGGAGCCTCCCTCTGAGGAGCTAGGGGCCCAGCTCCCTGTGGAGGAACAGGCGGAGAGTGCGCAGTGCCAGGCAAGGGGCGCACGGCCGACGTGAGGCAGGTGTTCCACTGGGACCCCCCCGGAGAGGACTGTCTTCCAGGGAGCTGGGCCTCATGGCTGCTCCCCACCTGACGGGCCCTGTGTCCTGTTGGACACAAGTTCACGTGCACCCCCACACAGGGCATGACCGCTCTTTCCCAGCCACTGCCACTGCCACAAAGCTCACCAAGGTCCCTTCTCAGAGGACAGGATGCCAGACCCCTCCTCTGTGCCCTGCCCAGCCACCCCACTGGGAGTGTGATCCAGAAGATGCATGCAGGGTGGATACTGGACCCAGGGGAGGCAGAATCTCCAATAGAAGTCTGAGCACTGCTTTGGGTCTGTGTGTCTCTTGCCGGGATGAAATAGAGGAGCTCCTAGTCCCTAAACACTCCTGCCCTCTCCTGCCCTCTCCTGTCCCTACTGGCTGCCCAGACCCCCACCTCCTCCCAGCCAGGGAAAGGCTCCCCTGAGACCAGACCTGCAGTGGGGGGCAGACAGAGGTGCTACAGGAAACAGTCCTCCAGGGAGAGAGAGGCCCAAGTGGGGAGGACCCTCAGGAATCACCACAGCATATCTCAGTGGGGGATTTGGGGCACCGGGAAGACAGGGGTCAAGGTCTCCCAGCCTTCAGGACTACAGCCTGGATCTCCAGGGACACCGCAATGCTCCTGGAATGCCAACTGGTCCTGGAAGAACAGGGAGGCTTTGGAAACGGGGAGGAGGGTGCATCCCAGAAGCTCCGGGTGAAGGTGGGAACAACGGGTATAAGAGATTCCCTGAGGTCAGCTCCAGGCAGCCACCATGTGAGGCCTGGGCTGTGCCCCCTGCACCTGCAAGGTCAGTTCAGCCACATGACCAGTTTCCACATCGCACACAAGGTGGGCAGGGCTGGGATCTCCATTACACGTGATGATGGGGACACTGACCAAAGTGCCTGGGGCACAAGAGGAACAGAAACACTGGTTGAATAGCCAAGAGGGGCAGGGACTACCTGAGGCTACCCAGTGGGTCTGGGGCAGAGGGACGGCTGGACCCTGGCCTCTAGATCCCCCACAGGGCTCAGACCTGGGCTAGACACATCCTACCAGACCCCACAAAGGTCGGGGAGCAGCTGCTGGGCCCGGTGTGATCCTGATGCCTTCCCTAAAGGTCACCCACAGTCAGCCATCCGCATCACACAGCAAAGGTGCGAGATTGGATCTTGGTGCTGAGCACTAAGAGGACCGTGTATTGGACGAGGGGGGTCTAACTTCCCACAAGCCTCTGCCCCACCTCAGCTCCAGGCCCCTCCCAGCCAGGCCTTGGCCAGAATGCCATGAAACACCCCCTCTCTTGCCTCTAGATGGAGCCCCGCAAGTCCCTGATCCCCACTCCTGATGGAGCCAACCCCAAACAAGTCCTGACCAGGCCCAAATACTGCGACAGACTCAGTCTGACCACGCCCTCAACCCCGGCCCTAGATGGGAGGGTCGCTCACTGCAGCTAGTCCCAAGGGAGGGGCCAGGGAGTGGGGCAGGCTCTGGGGGTCCTCTGAGGACCCCCAGAGCGCTGGCCACACATGCCCTGCATCAGGGTCACAGGGCACTCTGCAGAGCCGCTGTGGCACCAAAAGCCTTTCTGAAGACGGCAGGGACGGGGTTAGAAACAAGCCTCCTCGGGTTCTGACCCCTCAGTCTGCAATCCTGTCACAAGCCTTCTCCCCCTTCGCCCCAGAGAAAGGGACAGAACCCATCCAGCCTCACTGGCTTCCTAGCTGGCGTGGGCCTGACCTGACGGGATCCAGAGGAAGGGACAAGGGAAGTGTTGTGTGTGGAAGGGCAGGACCAGTAGGCGGGAGGAACGTGCAGGAACTGAACTGGAGGAAGCAGTGTGAACGAAGTCGGGAGCAGGCAGGCACACAGCACATTCAGAAGCCAGGAAGACGGCAGTTTTCTATTTGTGAGCTCATTTATTAAGATCCTAGCAGCTTTTTAGAGAAGCAGCAGTAGCTATTGTTTTCTCTCTCACAGGCAACATCTACAGGTAACAGTGAAACATGCCCAGAACTTTCAAAGTCTGGCACAGAACTCAGAAACCACAAGGAAAAGACTGATGCATTTAAATCCATAAAGATTATCTCTTGGGGTGCCTGGCCGGCTCAGCGACTCTTGATCTCAGGGTTGTGAGTTCAAGCCCCATGCTGGGTATGGAGATTACTTTAAAATAAAATCTTTTTTTTTTTTTTT